CTCCACTTATGACAACGGATCAATCTGAACAAGCGCAGCCCTTTTTTTCATTAACATTGCATGATCCTCTCCATGTTAAACAAGTTGATTGATAGCATAAATGCTGTAGAGCAGTGTGTACCACAAAACACACACAAGCACACAAAATACACACACACATAAACTGAAACAATGAAATCTCTTTCTTGAACGTGATTTTGAAACCTGCGGTACTCTTACATGTCCTCCACCCTGCAAGCTGCACTTTAACAGGAAAAAGGTGGTGGCTTATTCCATCAACCGTCCTCTTTGATCTCTGCCTTCAAACTCCCTTACTCCCTTACACACACACACACACACACACACACACACACACACACACACACACACACACACACATATATATATATATATATATATATACTTTACCCCCAGTGAGATTTGCAGCAGTGTCATCCGGGATTTAGGCTCTTTTTTCAATCAAAGAAGTAAAACATTTTTCTTTCTCATAACCAAGCCACACACGATATACACATACCACGAAATATAGCGATATTAATTCATATTTGAGGAACTGGAAGTGGGAAGCTTATCGTGCTTGCACGTCACATTTCATGTGAAGTGTGTAACGTAATGTCTATTCTATTTATACAACTAGTGGTTTTTCTGATGAAGGACTAATCTCTCAGAATGGTCAAAAGAAAGTCCCCAAAGCGTTTCATATGTTTGATATATTCTTATAAACCTCAAGAGTCTCATATTAAATACTTTTATCCCCCCCGCCAAAACACACACACACACCCCTTGCCGTGGGTAGTTAATTTTACCATCTGAAATGAAAAACACGTGGAAATATAATTTCCGATAAAATACACATTAAATGTCAGATTAAAATTATATGTATATGATATGTAGGATTCAAAAGGATACAAAAGAAAACTGATGCAAAAGTAACACATACCCTACACTTTCCTCCCCACTTTCAGATACATCAAAGGAATCCACACAGCTGCCGATAAACGTTTGCAACTCATAGAGGATTTTTTGTGTGTCGTGAATATTTTGTACTCACCACGGCTCTGCTGTATTGGTCAGGCTCTGCTAATGTGCTTCCCGTAAAGGTCCATATCATTAACAGCAGAAGGCAAAACTCCATCCCAGTCACTGCAAGAAAAGAGGAGGAAAAGTGCTCCACATCATTAACAGGATGTTTAATATTTGGAGGATTCTTGTTTATAATTCCGCAGCTTTCTCTAAATCAGCACATATTCAGGGGAACAGAGACGATGCTCACCGCTTGTTCTTCTTCAGCTGCTTCAGTCTCTCTTG